CCCTCCACCGCAGCAACATCATCAAGGCCACGTCCCACGAGGACCACGAGGGCAGCGGCGTGGCAAAGTCGCAGAAGAACTTCTCCAGCAACAACATCCTGGTGCGCAACAACACCGGCAGCCTGCTCAGGCGGAAGGAGGTGACGGAGGAGGAAGCGGAGAGGTGAGGGGCAGAGCAGACGGGTCCGGCCGGGGTTGGGGGGCCTGTACTCACTGCAGTGAGTGGTGGGAAGGCTCACGTGGCCTCTGCCTCTCTCCTTCCCCTGCAGGTTCATCCACCAGGTGAACGTGGCCGCGGTGACCATCCAGCGCTGGTACCGGTGCCACTCGCAGAGGCGCAAGGCGGGGGCAGCCGCGCTCGGGAACGTGCTGGCTTCCAAGAGAGAGGTCGGTCTTATGGGCATGGCCCTGAGGGACTGGCCCACGGTGTTTTGGGTCTGGGGACTAGCCCATGGTGTCTCGGGGCACAGCCATGCTGCCACTGCCCGGGGAGCCCATTGGCCTGCCAGTTCCTCCAGCCAAGGCCTGCATGGGAGCTGAAGATTGTAGCTGGGGGCATTTCTGTTGAGAGGTGCCAGCCTCTCTCAGCCCCTTGAGGTCCTGGGAGCCACAGGCGGTGCCAGGAACAGCCCTGGGTTTGCCATACGGCAGCATTGGGCTCCGACACCTTGGCTGCTTGGGTGGTGAGCCTTCCCCTCGACCTCGGTGGGACTTCAGGCTGCAGGAACCAGACCCTTGGGGCCTGTCTGGGATTTGTTCCCTGTCCTGCCTTGCATACCAACACCCAAAGCATGAGCAGGAACCACAGGGGCTCTTGCCAGGTCCCCCAAGCTGGGCGCTCCTAACACAACAGCCCTGGGTCTGTCCAGCACCCACAGCACGGACGTGTCCTCGAAGCACTGACGGCTGGTGCGCGGGGAAGTGACGCATCCTCGGCAGCAGTTTGTGCTTCTGGGTGTTTCGTTATTTATCTAAAAAAAGAAAAAAGCCGCCCCTGCCTTGTCTCCTGGCTCTGGCATGTCATTGCTACTTTTCAGCCCTGTCTTGTCAGCTCTTTCGGACCCAGCCAGCAGCTAATTGCATTTGGTGTCTAATGGGCCCTGGGGAAAGATCCTGCGCAGAGGGGAGGGTTGGGGCCGGGGAAGCCTCTGGGCTCGGGGCAGCCATGGAGGTGGGACGTGGCCCATTCCCTTCGCTGCGTTTGGCGGGTGCTGGAGAGGAGCCTCCGTCATCCTCCCCGCGTGCTTCTCCCCCGGCAGGAACGGCAGCAGCAGGCACGGGAGGAGGGAAACATCCTGGACCTGCAGCGGAGGAAGGACGAGGAGAGGCGGAGGATCCGCGAGGAGAAGGCGCGCCTGGCCCGGCAGGCGGCCATCCAGGTAGCCACGGGGCTCTGGCCACTGTGCCCAGGTGGATTGGGAGCTGTCCTGGAGGTGGGGAGCTGCAGGAGCTTGCTCTCCATCCTCGTGTGGGCTGCTTGCACACGGAGCAACAAAAGGAACTTCTTTCTCACCCACGCGTAATTAGTGGGGAGCTCATTACCACCAGATGCAGCAGCTGAGAGTTTAGCCAGACTCACAAAGGGATTGGACACGTTCTTGGAAGAAAGGGACATCTGTCACTATTGAGTTAGGGATGCTCTGAATCGGATCCTCTTAGGCCTTAAATGCTGGAGGCTTCAGGGGAGAAAGGAACAAGGGAAAATCCTGGTCAGCCCCTGTTCGCTCTCCCAGCCTCCGCGCTCTGCCGTCGTGACACAGGAGATGGGCCAGGCGGACCTGGGGTCTGACCCAGTCCATGGCAGATGGGGCAGCTAGGAGCTAGGATGGGTTGTGTTGCCTTTTCTCTGGTGTCCGCACCGTCTAGCAGCCTGCCATGGAGCGCGCCTTGCGTCGCCACAGCTGGCAGCCTCCGCTGAGGGGCCAAGGCCAAACAAACGGGTTGCAGGGGCTGGGGGACCTGAGAGCAGGGAGGGTTGGCTGCTGTAGTGCTCCCACCATGGTATTGGCAGGCCGAGGCACCGTGCGTGCCCCCAGGGGAGCCAGGCTGCTCTTTTGTGCTGGCAGAGCGTACTGGCACAGTGTCCACATCTGACGGGTGCTGGTCATGTAGGCCTCGCCAGTAGCCCGTGCTCCAGCCCTGCTTGGCGGGTCTATTCTCCCATTCACCCCAGTGCCCACTGTGTGCCGTGTATCGGGGCTCCCATCTGCCCTGGGAGGGCTGGAGCCACTTCTGTGTTGTTGCCAGTACCCGCTGGAGGGGGGCTCCTGGGCCAGGCAGGGGCTGACGGCCAGTGCCGCCTTCCAGGAGCTGCAGCAGAAGCGGGCGCAGAAGGCCTCGGAGGCGAAGCGGCTGGTGGAGGAGGAGCTGGCGGCGCTGAAGGAGAGCAGGAGGGCCGGGAGGAGGAAGCCCAGCAAGCCGGCCGTGCCCAAGAACGGCAGCCCGGCCAGCAGGGCGTTCAAGGCCAACAATGCAGGTGAGCCCTGCACACATCCTGCTCGGGGTGCTGAGTTGGGGGTGGAGTAGGGGTGTCGCCAGTGGCTGGGACTGAGCAAGAGCTGTTTTGGTTGCTCCAGATGCCAGTTTCCACGCTGCGCCAGCTGCAGCCCCTGAGGAGACCCCCCCGCCGGAGCCCGGCCCGGGGCCCAGGCAGGAGCCCGTGGCCGAGGACAGGCAGCAGGTGAGCTTGGATGTCTCCGCGCTGCTGGGATTTGAGTCTGCAATCGGTCTGGCACGGAGAGCGCCAGGCCTGAGGCTGTCCAGAGAGTAGCACCAAGGACTCTGAGTCCTCTTGCTCTGTGTCCCCTCCCAGGATGTGAGCTCCAGGGAGGTGGCCAGTGAAGACCTGGAGGCGGTGGTGGCCACGGCTAGCTGCGCCCCCTCCAAGGTCACCCTGCACGACCTGCTGGACACCCTCAAGCTGCTGGAGGAGGAGCCGGAGCTGCTGCCCCAGCCCAAGGCCTGCAAGAAGGACAGACATGCCTGGATCGATGGGGTAGGGGCAGAGGGGCTCCCCGCTCAAACGGCTCGGTGCACACCACAGGGATGGGATCGTGATGGGCAGCGGGGGGCTTTTGCATGTCTCCCCACGGGGCTGCCGTCACCTCTGCCCCCGTGCCGCTGCAGGTGACTGGAGGCTGCTGGGTGGTTCCGGGGGTGTTGCCCCCCTCGCATTGCCCTGCTCCTTCCCACGCTCTCCCCTCCACTGCCAGGAGGCCGACTCCACCTCCCTGACCGCTGACAACCTGGAGAAGCTGGGCAAGCTGAGCCACAGCGCGGGGGGGGCCGGGTACGGGGCCCTGCTGTCCGAGGCCAAGCTGCAGAGCATCATCAGCTTCCTGGACGAGATGGAGAAGTCGGAGCAGGAGCGACCTCGCTCTGCCGCCTCAGCCACGCCGCGGGAGGTGAGTGCTGGGCCAGGGGCTGGAGGAGGCACGTGCTGGCTCGCGTGTCCCTCAGTGTACTGGGGCTGCAAGAGCCAGCCGTGCCTGACATCCATCCTGGCATCTTGTGGGGCTGGAGAGACGATGGGACTGGGGCTCCTGCCCCTTGCTGCCTTCTGGGGATCGCCGTGTGGAGTGGGGGGGGTCCCTTGGGTGACTGCCGGGGCTCTGGTTGGCAGGACTAAGCGGGGGGAAGGGGAGGTCTCGCCTTGTCCGTGGCAGGCAGCGTCCAGCCCCTTTTCAGTGTCATGTGGGCAGTGTTTCCTCCCCCACAGGGGCTCCTGTCCGAGGAGGAGTTGGCTCACTTGGAGCAGGCGTCTGCAGTCGCTACCGAGGTCACCAGCTCCATCGTGCGGCTGCGGCTGGAGGTGGAGGAGAAGAAGCGTGCCATCAGCTTGCTGCAGACTGCGCTGGTGCGTCGCCCGGCGCGGGGGAGCCCCACCGGCCTGGGAGCCCTGGCTGTGCCCGGCGCCCATCGGCCAGGAGGGGAGGACGGCTGCTCTGCGAGGGCTGTACCTTTCCCAGCCTGCCCACACCAGGCTCCCCTCCATCCCCTGGCACGGGAGCTCGGCAGTGCCGGGAGACTTTGCAGTGAGAGGCGCCAGCCCAAGTGGGCAGACGCCCTCCAGAGCCACCCTGCCCCCTCATGCCCTTCGGTGTGAAGCGAGGCGTTGTGCCAGCCCCAGCTGTAAGTGCAGCCCCCCAGATGCCCCTGCTCCTTTCCCCCGCTCCCGACAGGCTCAGCAGCGCGAGCTGACCGTCCGGCACGTCAAGCAGACCGAGAAGGAGCTGAGCCACCAACTCCAGCTGCAGCGGGAGCAGTACGAGGCTGCTATCCAGAGGCACCTGGCCTTCATCGACCAGGTACGTGCCCGTCCCAGCTGGGCTGAGGGTCATTTTGGAAGCAGGGACCCAGGACCTCCCTCTAAGCCTCCCCCTCCAGTAGCTGTAGGGGAACAGGTCCTGAGCTGACCTTTGTGGCATAAGAGTGCAGGCGCTGGGCTTATTCGTGTGCCGGGGAGGTCGGGGGCCAGGCGGCAGGTGCCCAGCTGCCCCCTCTGCCCCCGCAGTTGATTGACGACAAGAAGGTGCTGAGCGAGAAGTGTGAGGTGGTGGTGGCCGAGCTGAAGCAGGTGGATCAGAAATACGCCAAAAAGGTCGCCCAGATGCAGGAGCAGCACGAGCTGGTGAGATGAGGGGGAGGAAGGCAACAGTTGTGGGGGAGAAACTCTGCCCCCATCGCAGCCTGGTCCAGCACCCTGTCCCGCAGCCTGCCAGAGGTGACTGTGTCACAGGTCCTCTCCTGCAGGTGCAAGGGGTGGCATCGCTCCCGCCTGTGGCTGGGGGTCCCTGCCTGTCCCACGTGGGGTCTCTGCTACCACGCAGGGGGCTGCGTCTTAGGCAGCCGCAGCCTTGCTGGAGCCAGTGTGAGAGCATGAGGAAGTCCCGTGACCAGGAGGTATTTGTCCCTCCCAGCTGGCCCCCGGACCTCCTGCACGGCTGTGGGGGCTGCTAGGAGCCAAAACGGTGCCCCTGTGCACACGCCAGCTGGGTCCGAGCTGTTTGTGTCTGAAGGTTGGCCTCAGGGCACAGGCTTGCTGTGTGGGGGGACTGTCCCTCTGCTCAGCTCCTCCTGGGACCTGTTGCCCCCTGCCCTACTCCTCCAGGGACCTCCTCACCACATCCCCAGCACTGCTCGTCTGCTTCTCCTCCTCCTCCTCCCTGCTTGGTGCCCATTGCCCACGGCAGGGCTGGTGCCCCGTCCTCTCCCTCCTCTCTCTGTCTCCCCAGGTCTGGTGCACCTTGGGCCCCTTGTGCCAGGTAAAGCTGTTCTGTGCTCACCGTGCACCTCTTCCTTGCCTGTCTGCCTGGCCTGTAGCTGCCACTTGCCCTGAGCGCTTGCAGCTCAGAGCACCGAGAGGGTAACGAGGAGCCCCCTTGCCTGCTCTTAATGACATCCCCGCGCTCCGCCCGTGCCCCTGCAGGTGGGTGCTTGCACCCACATGCACACACATGCAAGCACCCTTGGCTTTCGTTGACCCCTGTCTCCAGCAGCGCGTGGGCTCCTTCCAGCATGCTCACTTCCACAGGCTTCCCCTTCTGCCCCTCCGCATGGCTGCCTCCCAGGAGGGGTGTGGAGAAAGCCCCAGGGACCGTGTCTAGAGCTGCAGGAGACATGGACTATGCCAAGGCCATTGGCTCCCATCCGACGCGGTGTCTCCAGGCTGGGCATTTGGATCCCCGCGGCATTGCGGTGCTTTGCCCCCGCCCCTGAGGGCTCACTGTTCCCCCCGGTGCAGGAGATCAAGAAGCTGAAGGAGCTGATGAGCGCGACGGAGAAGCTCCGCCGGGAGAAGTGGATCGACGAGAAAACCAAGAGGATCAAGGAGATCACCGTGAAAGGTACAGAGCCCTCCCTGCGCCGGCATCTGGCTGCCGCGCCATGCTCACGCGAGCAGGGGGCAGACAGGCAGTCCCAGCCCATGCGTGTCACAGGACGCGGACCCCACACGTGTGCCCCTGGCCGTGCCTGCCCTGTCCCCAGGACGGCTGCATGGTGCCGTCTGGCCGCCTGACTGATGGTGCATCCTGTCCACCACCCCCAGGGCTGGAGCCCGAGATCCAGAAGCTTATCTCCAAGCACAAGCAGGAAATCAAGAAACTGAAGGCGCTGCACGAGGCGGAGCTGCTGCAGTCGGACGAGCGGGCGGCCCAGCGCTACATGCGCCAGGCCCAGGAACTGCGCCAGCTCCTGGAGCGCGAGAAGGAGGAGCAGGGCCAGCGCGAGAGGGAGATGGCCAGGCAGCGGTACGGGCCTGGCTGGGAAGCCCTGCATTCCTCCTGTCCGGGCAGCCAGGGGATGAGTGACCCCAGAGCTGGGGAGGTGGGGAAGGTGTCTGCCCCATGGGGGCATCTGGGCTGGGCAGCTGCATGCCTGGGAGGGGGGAGGCAGCTGCAGGACAGAGGGAACCACCAGAGAAGAGCCTGGGACAGGCCAGGGGGTCCTGGGAGGAGGCAGGTGGGGACCCTGGGGCTGGGAGCAGTGCCAGGCTCCCAGGGCAGGATGTGCCCGAGCAGCCTCTTCCCCCCTGTCGCAGGTACGAGAAGCACCTGGAGCAGGAGGAGCAGGCGTTGCAGCAGCAGCGACGCAGGCTGCACGCCGAGGTGGCCGAGGAGAAGGAGCGGCTGGGGCAGCAGGCAGCCAGGTGAGGCAGGTGTCTGGGGTGAGCCCCAGGCTTCCTGCTCCAGGCTCCCCACCTGTTTCCAAGCAGCACCAGGGTCTGGGGGCTCCAGTTCCAGCCCCGTGGATGGGGCCAAGGAGCTCTGGGACTGCTGGAACCAAGAGAGCCTGCGCTGGGCTGGAGCACAGGGTCTCGGGGACCGGTGCCTGCCCCCAGGAGCAGGGCAGGGGGTCACTGACCGCAGCCTCGCATCCCACAGGCAGCGGGCAGAGCTGGAGGAGCTGCGGCGGCAGCTGGAGGAGAGCAGCGCTATGGGCACCAAGGCGCTGAGGGAGGAGTATGAGAGAGGCCAGGAGGAGCAGGAGAAGCACCATCAGGTCTGAAGCACCCCCCCCCCAATTCCTGTCGCAAACCCCTGGCCCTCCCGCCCTAGCCTGGGCTCGGTCAGGCAGCAACAGGATGGGGCTGCAGTGCTGCAGGGGCAGCACTGGGTGCTCAGAGCCCTTTGCCTTGCTGGCCTCTCACCCCGGGTCGAGGCTGGGGGCTCTGGCGGGTTGAGGGTGCAGCACTTACCCCCCCCATCACTCACTTGGGTCCTGCTATGCTCCCCCCAGGCGGAGGTGAAGGCGCTGAAGGAGCGTCTGGAGATCGAGAAGCAGGCCTGGGAGGCCAACTACGTTAAGAAGGAGGTAACGGTGCGGCCGCCAGCCCCTGGTACGAGCTGGGACAGGCTCCGGGCTTCGCCTGACCCCTGGTCTGTTCCTCTGCCCCCAGGAGGCCTGGCTGCTCTCCCGGGAGCGGGAGCTGAAGGAGGAGGTGCGGAAGGAGCGGGACAGGGAGATCGAGCTGGTCATCCAGCGCCTGGAGGCCGACATGTCATCTGCCAAGGAGGAGTGCGAGCGGGCGGCGGAGAACAGGTGCAGGCTGGCAGGGAGCAAGAGCAGTTCGTGTCTGCTGTGAGCCGTCCTCGCCGGGGCAATCGCAGACGCCTGAGCAGAGCGGGGGGCAAGGCTCTTGCCTTTCTCCCCCATGTTCTCAACCCCCAGGTGTGGGCAGCTGAGCCCATCTCTCCCCAGGCCAGTGGCTCACTCCTAGGCCCATACGAGCAGCAGGGTGCCTGGCGGAGCACAGCAGGGCGCCGCGGGCTTTGGCTGGGGGATAGGAGGAGCGTTGCCTGCACCTGCACAGGGGGAAGGCCCCATGCGGTGAAGGGACCGGGTTGCTCACACCGTCGGTTTGTCCCTTGCTGAGAGGCAAAGCAGGTGCCCTCTGCTCCTCTGTGAGCTCCCAGCGGTGCCAGCTGCTCCATCGTCCCGGCAGGGTCTGAACGGACTGGTGTGGAGTGGAGCTGGTCTCCGTTCTGGAGCCGGCTGTCCCCCATCCCAAGCTGGCTCCCCTGGGTGCCTCATTCCCCGTGGAGCCGGGAGAGGTCCAGACTGATCCTAGGAAGTACACTGCAGCTCCTGGGGACAGCTCATAGACCCCCTGCAGTCATGCAAGCCGGGCAGCTGAGTGCGATGCAGATATATCCCCTTTTCCCCCGGAGGCGGGCGAGCTGGGATGTAGCGCTCTTGTCCCCTCCAGGATCAAGAGGGTGAGGGACAAGTACGAGGCGGAGCTGCAGGAGCTGGAGAGGTCGGAGCGGAAGCTGCAGGAGCGCTGCAACGAGCTGAAGGAGCGGCTGGCCGAGCTGGAGGGCGAGAATATCCGCCTGCAAGGCCTGGCGAAGCACAAGGAGCAGGAGGCGGACGAGATCCGCAAGGTGGGTGCAACATGGGCCCGTCTGCTCGCAGGCCCAGCCCTGCATGGTGCCCCCGCTGGGCCCTCTGACCTCTGCCCCTGCCCCAGGTGAAGGACCGGCTGACCCAGGAGCGGAGCAGCCTGTCAGATGTGATTCGCCAGGAGTTCGCTGACCGGCTGGTGGGGACGGAGGAGGAGAACAAGCGGCTGAAGGTGGAGATGTCAGAGATGCGGGCCCGCCAGCGCCTGGAGCTGGACCGTATTGCCCGGGAGAAGGACGCTGAGCTGGAGGAGGTGCACAGGAGGTGAGGGCTGGCCCCGTGGTGCCAGGGCGTGCTCCCTGTGGGTGGGGAGAGACCCTTGCCCTGTGCACTCGGCCCCTGGGGTTTGCGGCTGCTTCCCCGTGTCGGCAGGAGCCGCGTGGCTGTGAATGGAGGCCTGGGCTCCCCATGCTCATGCCCCCCGGCAGCTGTCTCTGCACGAACTCCCAGTCGGGGGACAGCGGGTGTCTAGTGGGAGCACCTCCGGGAGCTGCGAGGCCCATGCTGCGTCAAAAGCGGTGGAAGTCCAGCTCTGGCTGAACGTGATGGAGGAGCTGGTAGCGCGTGCGGGGCTGTAGGAGGCACCTGGGGAGAGCTGTCAAGAGCTAAATGCATGCCAGGCCTGCAGCCCCAGAAACTGGCACAAGAAGCAAGGGGGAGTCCCCACTTTCGTATAGAAAATCCTAGGACTTGGGCTCACAAGCCAGCGGGCCAAAGGAGGGAAGAGGTGAAATATAAAGAAACATCAGCACTGTGATAGCACACGCTCAGCATCCTCATTCCCCCCCCGCCATGCCCCCAGACATGCTCGTCGCCCAAGCACTCAGACAGCTGCCCCCAGCTCCTTTGGTCCATGCAGTCCTGGCTGACCAAGCCGGCGGGATCTCCAGCTCCTCTTGTGTGCCCTGTGTCGCTGAGTGCTGCTGGAACAGGGTCACGCCTCCAGCATCAGTTGCTGGGCCCAGGCCACGCAGGGGGCTAATGCAGGGACCAAGGGTCTTATTGATGCCCTGGGCACCCCAGTCACTCCTCCCCTGCTCCCATCAGCCTTGCAGCTCAGCCAGCCTTTGCAAGGGTGTTGACACCCCCAGGGAGGAGCATGAGGCCACGGTCCCCCGGCCCTAGGCAAGCATCTCTGGGGCAGAGGGGCAGGGGCACCCAGCACAAGGGCTCAGCCTCATCTTTTGTGTCGGTGCAGGGTGAAGACGGCCGTGGTGAAGAAAGAGGAAGCCGTGAGCAGCCTGCGGAAGCAGTACGAGGTACGTGGCCCCGTGGGCAGGGTGGAGGGGTCTGCAGCACGGTCTCCCACCGTGCCACTAATGCCCGTGCTCGTTTTTGTCCCTGCCACGGGCTTTGCCGCAGGCGGCAGTGAAGAGGGCCGACCACCTGGAAGCCTTGCTGGAGCAACAGCGGAGACAGCTGCTGGCTGCGAAGTGACTCCCTGCCGGCAGGACACTGCCCCCACGCAGCTGGCTGGGGCCCAGACGCCGCGTGCTCCGGGGCGGAGCCGCCCACGTGGGCTCGGACATTGCCGTGTGCAGGCGCATGGGTGCGCGGGGAGTTCCTCTGCCCCCCGGCCTGTTTCTGGTGCCTCCAGCCTGTGGCCTCGGTGGCCTTGCAGGTGTATTTTGGTAGTAAAAGCCATGCTGGTTTCTAGAGCCACGTCTCAGTTATGTCTGTGGGAGCTGCAAGGGTGGGGCAGGCCCCAGCACCAGCTGCAAGGGAGCGATTGCCTGGGCTCTTGCCAAGAACAGGATGTGGGGGAGACCAGGAGCCCGGTACCGCCCTCAGGAAAACGAAGCCACGTGAGAGCATCAGGGCGGGGGCCCATGGCCACTGCCAGTCGCGGCGTGGCGGAGAGCGCTCCAGGAGATCCCTCGCCGGCTCCTGTCCGGTCTGTTTCCCTCCGTCCTTCCGGGTCCCGGGCTGCGGGGCCTGCCAGGGTGGTCGCGGGGGGTGTAGGCTGGCGGTGGTTTCTTGGGCCGGTTTTGCCTTGGTGGCTCTGCGGCCCGGCTGGCAGGAGAGGCCACGGCCCTGGTCTCCAGCCCAGGTTGGTCTCTGGCCTCTGCCCTGGGAGTCTGCTGCTGCCTGGAGGTGCCGCGATGATGGGATGGGGCGGGGGAGCTCCATGCAAGGACGCCTTTACTCCCTGCTGCTCCTGCGCAGATGGGAGGCTGCGGTGTCCGTCTACCCTTGTCCCCCAAGGGACAGGATGACCCCCCAGAGGGCAAGGGACTTCCTAAGACCCCTGAGCCTGTCCCTCGGCTGGAGCTCGCTCCCCCAACCCCGGGAACACGCACTTGAGGAAGTGGGAGGATGGGGCAGTTCCTGTCAGGCACCTTTCCAAGCTGTAACCCATGACCGCCCGGCTGGGTCCTGACAGTCCCGGTTGTAGGAGCGCTGCACTGTTTGCTGCTGGCCGATGGCCTGAGCGCGTCCAGGCCAGGCTAGGGCGCTAGCTCCGCTCCGGTGCATTAGTGACTCTCCTGTGCTGGCCAGATATGTCCTAAAGCCGGCCGGTGATGGAGCAGGACCTCAGGCAGGAGCCTGGTCTGGAGGGAGGTGGGAAGCCACCCTGTTATGGGCGACGCGGGGCAGGTCCGTGAGGTCCTGGGGGCGGCGGGACCTGCGAGTGGGGTGAGGGGTAGCGCTGGGAGAGGAAACTGCTTTCTGCTCTGCGCAGCTCGTGCTCCGGCACCTGGGGGCCATCCCCCACTGCACGCTTCTGCCTTCTTCCACCGGGCTCCGGGTCACAGGTCTGTCCCCTCCCGCCGGGCTCTGCTCAGCCTGAAGGTCTCTGCTGCCTGCACAGAGGCATGGGGCTTGTCTCAAGATGGGGGCACGGTGGGGGCAGCATCCCGTGCCGACTTTTCCAGATGCTGACGGGCTGTGTCTGCACCTGGCCCGCAGGGCAGCAATGAGGTGGCTTCGAGCAGTGGTTTCACCCAAGTCCTGGCCCTGTGCCTGCAGCTCCTGTCGCCCCAGGGCCTGCCTCTGCAGCCTCCCCGTGCTGGGTCTCCTGGCGTGCACCGCTTTGCTGGTGTTGGTCATGTGCTGGGGCAGCTCCTTGCATCTCTCCCACAGGTAAAGGCCCCTGGGACGTGGCAACGGGGTTTGTGCCTGGCTCTGGGCTGAGCTGCACGCAACTTGGAGGTGTTTTGCTTTTTTGGCCCAGCCCCAGGGTCTCTGCAAGCAGATATCCTGTGCAACTTCCGTAGCAGGGGAGGAAGGGAGGCACTGTTTTCTCTTCCTGCCCAGGCCTAACTGCAAAGCTCCCTCCAGTTTCTGCACGGGTCTGTCCTGCTGCCTAGCAAGCCCCTGACGGATCCCGGGGACCCCAGGGGACGGCACGGCCCAGCGTCCGGTTTGCGCCCGCGCTGCCCTGCACGTCGGAAGCAGCGGGGCCCGGCGGAGTCTGCCTGCAGCCCGTTAGGGTCCTGCCCTGTGCCAGCGGGGCTGTCTGGGTGTCACCTGGGCTGCGGGCACCAGGCTGGCACGGCTCTGGCCACTGGATATGGAGCCGTGCGGAGGACGCGGCTACCCCGAGCCTGGGCCTGGGGGATGAGCGGTGCGACCCGGGATGAGTTGTCAGGGCTCAGGCCTGCACATGGCACCAGCTCTCCTCTGGGGGGGTCCCAGCCCTTCCCCGCAGCAGAGCAGAGAGGAAGGGGGAAGGAAGTTGTTCTTTCCTTTCCTTCCTGGCAAGGCTTTGATGTGCAAGAGAAGCTGTTGACTGGCTCTCGACTTGCACAAAAGCCGGTGCAGCTTCCCCTGCTCCGAGGGCCCCTGCGGCATGGAGCTGCCTCTGGGCATCAGGCTTGGCTGGGCCATCGCAGCGGCCTGGGGTCTGCTCCCCCAGGGGATGCCCGTGCCCTGAACCCTCCTGTCTCCGTGCCAGGTATCGGCTTGGCACTCTGGAGCCCGAAGCCAGCACGAGGACCATCTCCCCACCCCGCCCCACACTGCAGTCGTTCCTCGGGGACCAGTACGGACAGGATGGGA